TGTAAAAATACAATGATGGGAAGCAGCATTAAACCATGCTCAAACAAACCTTGTCTCTTCTTTTGACAAGCAGCCACATGCTGAGAATCAAGAACAGGGTCTGTTGTATGTCCTTCAGTGTTTTTTGTGAGACATTTCATGTCTAAATGCATGGAAATTGTGTGATTACTGCCATAAGTCTACATTTAAAATAATAATGAACTTGTATTTGCAAAAGATGTGATATGTAGCATGGGACGATAACTGATATCAAGGTATACTGTGGTTTGGAAAAGTCAAGGTATTAAAATTGCAAAAATGATTTGTTATACCATTTCTAAGGTATATGTAAAGGGTTTTTAAGTGCTTTTATATGTGTTGTAAGGAAATCTGTGTTTTTGAAGCTATTGAAGAAATCAGAGTCAATAGTTTATTTTAATTATGAAACTCAATTATATTTACTGTTCCAAAATATTATAAATGTTAAATGTTTCCTAAGATGTAATTTATTGTGTTTAACTGAGAAAAAAGTTGTTTTTTTTACTAATATATTTTAAAAGAAATTGTTTTAGATTAGTAATCACAATACCAAGAAATCGTGATATATTTATCCAAGGTTTTCATACTGTCAGAAACTTACCGGCCCATGCCTAGTGATGTGTGAATGGCCCTGTATGGCTCCCTTTTCCAGTGAGAATGATGTCGATCACAATGTTCTGTGGTAAACCAGTTGGCAGTGGAAACACATGCCTGATCAGGGTGACCCGTACTGAACCAAACTGTACTGTACTGAAATAAACAGTACCACTCAGTGGAAACAAGGCATTAGAACTCCTTAGCAGGCTCATGTCCTAGTAACCACACAAACCAAATAACAAATCACATAATTGCCAGCACTGTGAACGGATTCAAACCTGGGCCATTCACATGACAATTAGGTAAAAAAAAAAAATAGTCTCTTGACTTTAGTCATTCAATCCTGTGCCTTATGCTCCCAAACAACCCCCTTCTCCAACCTACACTCATGTCAAAGTACAGGGTTAGACCGGGCACATCAAGACATGCGGTCATGTGTGGCAGTGACCTTCCTCCTTCTTTGTCTGCTCATACACAGTGTCCCATTGAGATGACGGTGAACAGAGCCCAGTGTGCCCCCCTCCCCAGTAGCGTCCTGCCATTTCTCAGTGGCACGCTGCAGTCTCTACCCTCCTCCAGAAGGAATGCATCCCCCTAAACTCATGCCCCTCTCTCCAAACTCTCTCGCTTTACATTCCAGAGCTGCGGAAGTTGACATCTCCTGCCTCCAGGGTCTCCCCCACCCACCGCCACATTATTAAGATTAGCAATCAAGGGAAAGAGGATGTAGGGAAATCTTATATCGGTCTACATTCAGTGATGCCATGCTTGTGGAGTCGGGAAAAACAGGATTATTTAAAAGTTTGTCTTATATTATGAAAACATGTCAGGGAGAATGCCTGCTCATTAGTTTCACTCAAACAAGCTTTCTGAGGAACGGATAAACATTGAGGGGCGTCTCGTTTTAATGCTTGCCGATGATGTTCAAAGGTCCCTTTATCACTGTGTGAAACTCAAGGTCTGCTTGCAACAAGTTGCTTCATTTTACTTGGCTATGACGAGGAATTTGGGATGCTTATCTGTAAACTAGGCATAATTGACTCCTTAAACTCAATGGAGCCTCTTGAGTAATTTGTATCTTGTCTAAAGACTGAAGTCAGAGTTAAATAAGTCAATGCAGAGCTCTGTGTGAGATTAATTTCCCTCAAGGTTCAGTCTTGCCCTCATTAAATATAGGTTGTATTTACTTCTGAGTGCAACTTTTACATTTTGTCCCGTTCATGCCCACAAAATCTCGCAGGAAGAGATCTACGCAGATTTTTCAGGCATGCTCCAGAATGATTCTCCCTCCCTTCCGCCTAGTCCTCCTCACATTCACTAAGTGCCTAATTTGCAAAAAATGTTCCTATATATTATAGTTACCTCTTCTGCCTCTCTTATTCTTTTTTATCAAAGAAGGCCTGAAGTGTGGCCTGAAGTGTCAAAACCCTGTTCTTCTCCATAATCTTCCTCACAAGATGCCCATTTTGCTTTCTAACCTAATATTCTTTGTCTTAATAAAGGCTTGCTCTGGCCCCAACATGCTATTCACCTTAGTCTTCCTCACATCTACTTTACAGCAAGCATTTTTTGTTTTTTAAGGATGTCTAATAGATGTCTATTCTTAAACCTCTATTAGATTTTCACCGATAGCCCAAGTTTAGCCTTGTTTAAGCCAAGCTGTCTACGTTTAGATGTTTATAAGACGTCTATTAAACAAAATTGTTTGCTGGGTCAAAGTGCTCCACAAGCCTGTTATTCACCATAGTATTCCTCACATCTATGAGTTTTTTGGCCTGACCCTATTACCTTCTATTCATCCTCTGTCAACAAAAATATGTAGTACCCTAACAGCCTATTCTTCACCATAGTCTTCTTCATCGCCACAATCTGCTTATTTGCTACCTAATTGCCTAATATACACACACACACACACACAAATTGGTTCTTCAGCAGTTTGTTTTGTGGAAGCTGAGGTGCTATTTAGCTCTGCTAAGTGGTTCTTTGGCTTGTAATCATAGGGGAGTCAATCTAAGTGCTATAAAGCACCAGTAATGGTTCTTTAGTGGGTTCTTTGGAGTGGTTAAGGAGCTAAATATCACCATCTTTTAAGATATGTGCTATGTAGCACATAAAGTGGTTCCCCTATGATTACGGAATGGACCACTTTTAATGCCATTCACCACCATTTTGTATTTACAAATGCTTGCTGTGCCCCAACACCCTCTTCTCCACCATAGTCTTCTTCAAGTTAACAAAGTGCTTATTTTGCCCCCTCACTCCCCTATTCTTAGGGCGTTTTCACACCTGTCCTATTTATTTCGGTTGAATCGCACTAGAGTTCGTTTTCCCTCTTGGTATGGTGAGTTTGGGCAGGTGTGAATGTAGTAATCTTACTTGAGTGCGCACTAAAAGCTGACCAAAAAAGTGTACTGAGAGTTGGTCTCTGTGCGCTTTCAAACGAACTCTGGAGCAGTTAGTTTGTGGTGAGAACATGATTTGAAGTACTGCGCCTTTTTGGACTAATCCAGCTGCCGTAGTCCGATGCTCTGTTCTATAGTATGGGGTGTGGAGGAAAAATATTTGTTGACCGCACTTTATCAATAATTTTAAACAGAGAGAGAGGGAAAAACATTACCTGATGGATTGTTGGTAATATATCTGGTAGATGACTATGTCGCAGTTTAGCTAAATTAATTCACCGCTCCTCCTTTGTTTACTTGCAGGAGTTCCATTGGCATTTTACCGCATGTTAATTCTGACCAATCGAAAAGCAGTTTAGGAAATATGTTCAATAACATCTGGCAAATGAGTGATGTGGATTTTGTCACATAACTGCATTTTAGTTCTTTTCAACTGGTTTGGACCAAAGCAATCAGTGTAGTGTGAAAAGCACCCAAAACGGCAGAAAAATGCTACAGTGCATTAGTTGTTGCCCTTGGTCTGGACCAAATAAACTGAACCACAGATGTGAAAGCACCCTTAGGCCCCGTTTACACTAGTGCGTTTTAGTTTGAAAACGCATATGTTTTGCTACGGTTACGCCATCCGTCCACACTACGCCGGAGTTCTCGAGCGCCGAAAACGGAGCTTTTTGAAAACGCTGGAGAGGCCATTTTCATTCTAAAACGCTGCTGCTCCGTCTCAGTGTGGATGATGAAAAACGGAGACATCTGAAAACGGAGGCGGGGCTGCAGACATTCGCCTCTCTGATTGGGGCTTTTCCTCAATATTAAGTAGCCCACACACAGTTCAGTCTCGCATCCTCTTCTTGTAAGTTAAGACTTCGCAAGTTTGATCAAGGCTGCAGTTTCCCCCTTCTCAGTTTGATATGGAAAACATACCGAGGACACGGGTAAATCTTCAAAGGGAACAGTGTACTTTATAACTTCATTCACATCACCTTGGCTACGTTGTTTCACTTTCTCAACAATAAAATGTAAACATGATTTAAGGAACTGCCTATTTTCTTTTTAATATTAGCAACTTAACAGACAGCAGAAATGTTGAGGCGCCGTGCTGTATAGGCTATATGAGCGTCATCTTCACTGTGTGGATATTTATAACAAAACAGAGCCAATAACAACTGCCTCCTTTCAATTTCAGTGAAAATACGAAACGCACCCTCTCTTTTGCTGAATAACAGTTGTAATAATCGATAATTATAAAAGTATAACATACAATAAGTTTATACATTGTAGGAACTAAAGGCAAGCGATCAGTCAATGTACCTGGATTAATCATTAACTTATCTTTGCGCTTAACCAAAACATGTTACCCGTGAACAAGTAACTTAATAGATTCCAATGACCAAAGTCAGGGAATTGGCCTATGTCGTTAGATAAAGACAACAACATGAATGAAATATCACGTTTAGCAAATATAGTGAGATTAGATCCAGCGGGAGATGCTTGATGAGCAGTCCGACAAGCAGAGCTCTCATCTGGGTAAAAATGCTGGAGCGCATGCCCGAGAGTGTGTGTGTGGTCACGTGATGTGCGTTTTCAGCGTTTTGGTGTGGACGGAGAGCAGTTCAGAAACGCTGGGTAAAACGCGAGTGTGGACGCGGATCGTTTTCATTCTACAACGCCGTTTTAAAACTAAAACGCACTAGTGTAAACGGGGCCTTAGTGTCTGGGGGGATTTTAAGAGCCAGTATTTCATCATAGTCTTCATCAAAGTAGCAAGTTGCACACATACTTCCATTCTTTGTCATAGTATCAACAGAGCCCCTGCAGTGACCTCTTACCTCCTATTCTTCTCCACAGACATCCTCACGTCCTTGAGGTATCTATTTTTACACTTCTTCCCATTCCCACACACGCTCACGACCTTAACTTGCTGAATTTGTTACAGCAAGCAAAAGCAATGAGCTGAAAGAAAGTAACGTAAGAACTTGAACTCACTGTGCTGCAATGATGGTCTCTCTTCCCCGGCCTCCTCGCTCTCCCTTTTTTAGTTCCTGCAACTCTCTTATGGGTGCCACCAAAATTCTGAAAAGGAAAAAAGATGATCTATTTACATAATGGTATGATTTCAATCACACCCTTCATTTTAGACACTCGTCGTCATCTTAAGCTCCCGAGAAGCTACCCCTGTGGATCCAAAAAAGGCTTTTCTCTGAGAGACTAATTCGTCTTGGCTCCCTATCATCATTGCTTACCACCACAACACACCCCTCATCTCCCTCAACCACAACAACATGTTTCTTGGCAAATCGTCCTGAGCCTGGGAAAGCTCTCTGAGTTATATTCTTTAGTCCAGAGTTCTACTGAGTCACCCGCCTAAACCCAAAAAGACAGACACACCCCTGCCGGACACCAGACGGCATCCAGAAACATTCCAGAACGTCGTGGACCTTCATAAAAACACTCCTACACTGCAAAGATTTCCTCAACAGCAGGGCTCAACAGTCTTCGTGGCTAAAAACTGTATGACTAAAAAAAATTCTACTGAAAATCTGATGCAGACGTTTCATAGAACTGGCCATCAAAACCTAGCCGTCCATCATTCAAGCGCACGTTCTTCTAAACAGCAACATCCAAAATGCATTTCTCCAGTCTGAGTGGTGAATTTATATGTTTATATGTTTTTTAATGGAGTTACAATGTCAAAGTGGGAACATTAGGTTACATTGTTCCAACACTTTTGTCATGCCAGTATCTAGAGGGAGAAAGAAACAGAGCTTTATACGGGAGTGACAGCTAAAATCACAAAGAGCCATTCATTCAGCCTCAAACTCCACAGCTGGTTCTAATATAGAGCTGAGAGAGAGAGAACGAGAAGGAAAGAGAGAGACACTGCCTTTAAAACACACGTAATGCTTGCCCACTACTGAGAAAGTTCCATACTTTCTGGAAAACAAAAAGAGCATCTTACTGTTATCATGAACTGGTTCAGTGTGCCAGTTTCTGTTTTTGGATGTATTTACTATGGGTTTAATATGTGTGAATTTATGGACAAAACGTGGACATTTGTTTGAGGACATAATGTAGCAAACATACACTGCAGCTTAAAATTTTATATTCAATAAATACCTTAAACAACTCATGTTAAATTCAAAATCTAATGTGAATATGTACACATTTTATGACTTTTAAAAAAAAATCTAGCAACAAAGAAACATTAAGATTAATAAGATGTTTTACACACACTTGAATGCTGCTGCATTTATTTTTTAATAAATAAAGTGAAAACACTAGTCTCTTTTTATTGTAAGGTACAATTCTTGTTATTTAAAAACCATGAACTATGACTTGGCCCTGAAATCGCATGCAGCAATATGCCAATTTTCATAGATTTTTAGTTAATCGAGTCTATTTATTTACTTGTGTAAGATTTACAGTTTTTTTAATTAATTTCAGTAACATTATTGACAAATTTGAAAATGTTCATATGATTTATTTACAATACAGTTTGTAAAGTAATATTTGTTTTGTCTTTTAGTAGATGGATATATTATATAAGACACTTGCTTTGCTTACCAAATAAATGGATCTAATTGCATTTGCATTGTAAACATTAGATAAAAGTTTAAAAAACTATTATTTTTTATTTCATGCATTGTTTGTCAAAATCATTCCCAAAAATCTGCAGATTTAAAAAAAAAAAAAAAATTCTGTGCAGAAATAGTTAAACAAGATTCAGTCCGGCCCTGGTTATAGCTCAATAAACATCTAACTTGCTACTTATTTGTAGTTATTAAGGTATTAGTTGGGTTTAGGTATTGGGTAGGACAAGGGATGCAGAATAAGATCATGAGCAATATGTAATAGACAGCCAGTATCATAATAGTAGGCAGGTAATAAGACACTAGCTAATCCTGAAAATTGATTCCTATACTAAAGTGATTCAAAGACATCAATACAACGCTTAGTTTGCTAAAAAAACATAAACTCTTTTGTTCGAAAAGAACAAATGCCCAACAAGCTGCATTACTTGGACCAAAAATATGCTACCTAACAATTGTTTTGTTGTCGACCCCAGTTGTAAGAGCAACAAATACTAACTTGACTTCCAGTTGATCATTTGAAAAAGTGTCAAAAGGTGGATTTTTCTGATGAATCAGAACTGCATCTCAATTATCACAAATACTGCAGAAGACCTATTAGGACCCGCATGGACCCAAGATTCTCAAAGAAATCAGTCAAGTTTGGTGTAAGAAAAATTATGGTTTAGGGTTACATTCAACATGGGGGTGTGCTAGAGATCTGCAGAGTGGGTGGGAACATCAACAGCCTGAGGTATAGGCATTTGTGCTGTCCATTACATTACAAACCACAGAAGGGGGCATTTTTTTCAGCAGGATAGCGCTCCTCATACTTCAGCCTCCACATCAAAGTTCCTGAAAGCAAAGAAGGTCAAGGTGCTCCAGGATTGGTCAGCCCAGTCATCACACATGAACATTATTGAGCATGTCTGGGGTAAGATGAAGGAGAAGGCATTGAAGATGAATCCAACGAATCTTGATGAACTCTGGGAGTCCTGCAAGAACACTTTCTTTGTCATTCCAGATGACTTAATTAATAAGTTTATCCGAGTCATTGCAGAGATATATGGAGGCAGTCGTCCAAGCTCATGGGAGTCATACAAAATATTAATTCTTTCTCCATTGCACCATGCCTTTATATTCTATACTGGACATTATTTCTGTTAAGTGCCAAGACTTTTGTCTAAGCAAAGTCAGACCTTACTGTCCCAAATAAAAATAATTAAAAATCAAGGCTTGATCATATTTTATTTTGGTAAAATAAGCCTAATCTAGAGGCCTTTGCCTTTCATATAAGCCACTTCTGATACCAACTGATCAAGTAGAAGTCAAGTTATAACTTGTTTTTTCTATAACTTGGATAGACGACAAGACTTTTGTCAGGTAGTGTTGAGTAGAACAGTCATATAAATTTCAGTTTAATTATTCAAACTGTTACTATATTTAAAATGCAGTTTTAGCAGTGTCACATTATCCTTCAAATATTTTCTTCTCATCAACAATTTCTGATTATTATCAAAGTTGTTTTGTTTGACAATTATAGTTGAAACATTTTTGCATGAATGAACAAAGAGTTCAAAATAAAGCACATAAAATTACTTTTTTGAAATTAATTTAATGGATCCTTGCTATGTAAACAATCATACTCAGCTTATCCACAACACTTAAATGGTACACAGCTGATATTTGCAACATTAGATCAGAAAAAGCCCATATATATGCATATATACTGTAGATACTGACCACCCATACCCAAAGAAATTAGCAAAGTGGTTAGAAAGTAGATTCAAATACTAAATAAAACAGATTAAAACACCAGGTGTGAAAAGGAATGTGTTTCTCACATCTACTTGTAATCTGATCACCCAAGATGCATCGTATTACCAAGTCTAACAAGAACCAAAAGCAAACGTCATGCTTAAAAGATTTGATACTAAAACACTAGACAACTACATGTGGGGGCCAACAAAGCAAACGTCTCCTTCCAGCCACACATGATGCCATAAACCATCAAGCACGAACTCAACCCTCAGATAGATGAGCACAATACTGTGCTCTGAGCATTATGAGGGTAGTTCAAGGTAACGGTCCATTGAAAGCAAGTGTGTGCATGTGTACGTACAGCGTTCGAGCTCAGGCCCAGAAAGAGTTACAGGAAAAGGAGCTGCAGTTCCCCAAAGACCCTGAAACTAGTCGGTCACTTCCTCCCAGTTCAGGAGCAGAGGAGACTTCAAAATCAGAGAGAAAAAGAAAAAAAAAACTGAAAATATAGACTGTGAAAGTTTAGCAGGAAGGAGAGAATAGCAGCCCAAAAAAGCTGTAGGTCCAGGACAAACACCTAAAACAGCAAAGGCTGATGCGTAAAAGGAAAAAGCAAAAATACTTTCAGACTAAGAAACCCAACGTGAGTCATTTCAAATACCATTGGCTTTACGTTTTGTGCTCTCTGCTGACCATACGCTTCTAAAAGCACAGCAGGACTTGATGAGGCCTAAGGAAAACTTAACTAAGCCGCAGGACTATAGCGTGAAAAATCAGCACACATTAAAATGGCTCGTATGACTGTGACCGTATTCAGTACATTCCTCTGACCAGTCAGGAAAACACACAAGACAAAGAGGGAACTGTGCCGTGTCTTTGAACTACAGATGTCCAACAGCTCATAAGGTCTGTTCACAGCATGAGTTATAACTGTGGCGGTAAATATAATGATATGACCAATGCTTGGATGATAACATACTGTTTGTTTATTACAATGCTAATGGTCTGTTCAAATTCTTGATTCTGATTGGCAGAAAGCTGTGCTATAAAATCAATTAGTGCACCGGTACTGTAGTCACAACACATTTTGATTACATCCGAAATGTACTTCCCTCAAACATTAGAAGTAATCATAGTAACTCTATGAGCCTTTATTCTCCTGTGTAATCTCAAGGACCCTAGGTTTACCAGAAGCTGATGAGGATTAACCAACTCACAAACATGTTCAAAATATTTGTGAAGAGGTAGCTAACACAAGTTAGTATGAGCTATTAGACATGCCCGTGTCATATACTGTACATGCACACATAATCTGTCTCTCTCAAGCATACGTTCCGTTTCTGCCTGTCTGTGACTGATTCAAAGCTGGGACTAAAAGATCTAACCATAACCAGAGATGCCCAAACTAGGGCCCATGGGTAACCTTTAATTTGGCCCACCATCCCATCTGAGAAGAGAGGGAGAATGATGGAAAGGGTTGGAGTCAATGCCTTTAACAGAGATCGCAATTTCTAGTTTAACGTAGCCTTTTTGATTTGTTTTATTGCTGAGCTACAAAACAGGAAACTGAAATTAAAATGTTTCAATTAGATGTTTTTAAATTATTTAGATTTTTTAAAAATACAAAAATACTGTCACTTGATGGATAGTGGACAATGCAGAAGCAAAAATCAAGGCAGAAGCAGGAGCAGCTTGACTAGTGTAACCCCATAAATGAGATTGTTTTTAACTGTAATAAGTTCA